GAATCGAGTGAGTCAGAAGGAGGATCTTGAGAACTGAAAGCATGGGGTGCTTTCGTATTAGCAGTCAGCGGTGGAAAGTGTTGTAAGACTACGGGGCAGTCGTAGCATTCACTAGCAGTCAGTGGTAAAAAGTGTATTCAGACTACGGAGCAGCCGTAGCATTCATTAGCAGCCGACGATAGAAGGTGATGTAAGACTGCGGGTAAGCCATAGCATTCCATAGTAGCTTCGTTGGCGGGTTGGGGCGAGGCCCTTATCTCCTAGCATTCAGATAGGGATCAGGAATGGGTAATGGATGAGAATGGTAAGGAGTTTGCATATATAGCCCTTGAGAGGTGAGACCTTGGGAGAGGCCACTCCAGGATGTAGTGGGTGAGACCCGTGGGCAAGGCCCGTATGAGAGTATCAGTGTAGGTGAGACCCGAGAGCAGGGTTGCTCAGTAGTATGGTTGGGTGAGACCCGTGGGCGAGGCCCGTGCGAGAGTAGTTAGGAAAGTGAGACTAGAAGGATAGAGGTGGGTGAGACCCGTGGGCGAGGCCTGTGAGTTTTAGTAGCACAGGTGGGACCTAGTAAGGATCTTAGTGTCTGGATAGGGATCAAGGATCCCAGGATTGTAGTGCCCGAATGGCAGAATAGACTGAGAAGTTATAGATGGTCGAAGCTTCTTCAAAAGTCGTTGGGAGCGACTAGGAGTTGTGTTGGGACTAGCGACCGGGGGGGGGGGGGAGCCGGTCGCTAGTCCCAAATTATAGTAAAAAGAAATGCCCATGGAATACTAGCGATAATGACCCGTACTGGAGGTAGCGGGAGTGACGGATTTGGTGAAGATAGGATCTTCACAGTGGCAGAGGAAATAGATGGTTATGGAGCATTGCCTTGGGAAGGCAAGGAAATCGTGCAAGGAAAGAAGGGGTGGACCCCTATGGGGTCAGTGTAGTAATTGGAGAGTACCAGAAGGATTGTCGGTTGAGTAAGTTGTGTTTCCAGAATGTTCAGGGTCAGGGTGGAACCAAGATTATTATCCGTAAGGATTGATGTTAGTCTGAATGATCGGGCGGAAGACCAACGAAGGTAGGCAGCCGGGGTTGGAATAATTAGTAAGGTATTGGAGGCAGATCACAGGCGGTGGGCCATAGTAAACTTCAAGGAAGAAGTTTAGTTTAAGTGGGGGAGAGTTGTAACACCCAAAGTCTGGAAGGCCAAGAAAGGAGAGAAAACCCTAATTTTAAGGGGTGACTCGGCGAGTCCAAGGAGGGACTCAGCGAGTCCGAGCGGGATCCGGGTCGAGGAGTAAGTGACCGACTCGACGAGTCGGCCAAGGGGACTCGGCGAGTCTGGTCTGTGCGAGGAAAACCCTAAATTCGGGACTTGGAGCATATTTAAGCGCCTCATTCTCCCCCTAGGGTTCCTTTACTGCCTCTCTAACCCAAAACACCAAACCCTAGCCGCCATATCCATTGTTTGAGCCAATTGTTGCCTTGAAGAGTGCATTAAAGCTTGAAGAAGGAAGAAGGATCTTGGAGGTGCAAGAAGGGGCTATAGATTTGGGATTGGGAAGATATTTCTGGGTATTTGGAGGTAATAAACTAGTTCTTGGACTCTTTTGCACCTAGATCTATGTGTGGGTGTTGGGGCTTTTTAGCCATAATGGTATCCATTTGAGTTAGAAGCCAGATCTGAAGTTGCTACTTTGGATCTAAGCATATTATGGTGTATCCATTCTAGTTTATGGTGTATTTTGCCTAGATCTCCTTCTCTACACGTAAAGTTTGCAACTTTACATGAGGAATAGGCTTGGGAAGGGTAGATCTACATTTTGGCGTCCATGCATGACTCAAAATTCCTCTGCATGTAAGGAGATCTGAATGGACTTGACGAGTCCTTTGAGTGGACTCGGCGAGTAGCATGAAGATTAGGAGCAACTCGACGAGTGGGATGAACAGCTCGTCGAGTCAGATGAAGACTGCCTTGTACTTGGCGAGTCAGGTCGCGAAACCCCAAACCCTTCGAATTGAGACTCGAATCAGTGAGTCAAGTGGAGACTCGGTGAGTTGGACAGGTCAAGACTTGGAAATCGGTAGACTCGGCAAGTCATGGACTGACTCGGCGAGTCGAGATGCGAATGGAAGGACTTTGAACATATGAACTCGGCGAGTTAGTAGGGTGACTCGGCGAGTAGGGTTGACCTGGAAGGTTGACTTTGACCAGGACTTTGACTTTGACCAGAGTTGACTTGGTTGTCTCTCAGGGGTCAGTTAGACTCAGTGTTGCATTGATATTGGTAGTTCAGGGAGAAAGGGGAGCAGGAGTTCAGAGAGTTGTCGGGCAGCAGCTAGTGAGATCATCAGCAAGTTCAGCCAGTGCAAGTGAGTTTCCCTTTGTGTGAATGGGTCTAAGGCCACAATACCGGCCCATGTAGTTATGAGTAGAAGACCCGGGGTTAGCCCTAGGCACAGTATGCTAGTATGATATTCAGGATTAGGTCCATTAATAGAGGGCGGGTGCCTAAGGATTTGTTTATATGATAGTTTATACTTGTTGTCTGTGTGATACATGTATGTGCCTGGTAGGGAGGTGAGTGTGGGCGAGGTCCCGTATCTCACCAATAGCAGAGTGTGGATGGGGTTCCACATCTCATTAGTAGCAGAACAAGGGCAAGGCCCAAGTTAGGGAAGGAGTGAGAGTAGGCTAGGCCCGTATCTCACTACCAGTAGGAGTGTGGACGGGGTTCCATAACTCATCAGTAGCAGGACGAGGGCGAGTCCCAGGATAGGCGAGGCCTTAGGACAGGATCAGTTGTATGAGTTTAGCTTATGTGTTGTGATATGTTTATGTGTTATTATTTGTTGGTGGGCGAGGCCCTATGACAGGCGAGGCCTAAGTGAAACAGATTTGTATCCGAGCGGGGCTCGAAGCCAGGTGGGGCCTGGAGCGGAGGGGCCGTTATAGCGGGCGAGGCCTGAGGCAGGGGGCGAGGCCCAGGATAGCGGGCGTGGCCCAGTATGTGCAGTATGTGGTTATGCATGGTATGTGGTAGGGTGGGGAACTCATTAAGCTTCGTGCTTACGGTTTTCAGTTTTGGTTTCAGGTACTTCCAGTAGCGGAGGGAAGAGCTCGGGGTGATCGCATGGCACACACCATTGATTAGACATCCTGGGAATGTTTTACTCTGATAACGAACATGTGTTTTGGAAATTAATACTCTGTTTATGTTTGGATTGATGATTTTGCTTTAAGTGATGTTTTATTAAAAGAAATTTTTGGTCTTGAATTTTGGGTCGTTATAAGAGCGGTCCAGATAGGGTGTAGGCCCTGCGAGGCAGTCCAGCTATGCTAAAGGCTCAAGTATGCATGATGTTATTTGTATATGTTATGTTGTGTGGTGGTGCTTTGGGGGAACTCACTAAGCCTTGGCTTTCAGTTTCAGTTTATTGTTTCAGGTATTTCAGATGACCATGGAAAGGAGATGGCATGATCGTGCACATCCTTCATATTTATGTTATTTGAATTTTGGGATACTCTGATTATTGATTAACACTTTTGAAAAAAATAGTTTTGTAAACAATTATGGTTATTGGGTTGTTTTTGAAAAATAAAAATTTACTCTGATTTTTGGGAAATTACAAAATTGCCTGACCTTTGGGGATTACAATGTTTAAGGTGAAACTCAACGATAAAATGTCATTGATGTACTCACTTACTGACCATACTCACCTTAATTTCAAATTTATTTTTAAGTTCTTCTCTTATTATCCTAACATTAAATTTTTCATTCTCAAGAACTTCTCTAGTAAAATGACTATTAATTCATCTATAGTTAACAATTGAACCGAGTTTGAAATTTCTAGCACAAGTATTACTCTTCACTCATCCAATAAGCCCAGTGCCTAAAGGTGTAATCAATACCCCATCACTTAACCAAGAGTCTTCTCCTGTCATTTTTTCTATAACACAAGTAGTAGCCATTAGCAATAACATAATTACAAAGCATGTGTTTCAATTGTTTATGGTTAGTAAATCTCATACCACAAGAAACTCCTTATTCTAGAGTACATCTTCATTGAACCTTGTAACATCAACATCCGGGACATTATCATCTTCATTAACACCTGTGACACTATCACATGCATCAACAACCGTGTTAGCCTCATATTGATTTTCCCATGTTACTCCTTCTTGGGTTACTCTTTCCATGTTGGTATCGATCACTGGAGTGATGAAGTCAGTTAGGTTGGTACCATCCTCCATTTCCCCTGACATATCTATACACCTGAATGGTTGTCCTCATAACAACCATTTTCACCAGACAATACATGTAGATTAATACCAAAATGGTCCATGTACATCATCAATTGGACTCCACATCAATAAACAATGTCAATGAACTCATCATATTCAAGCTCATTAGTAATCAATCTTAAACCTTCTTGGAATTCTTCTGTATCTGATATACAATAATACAACTTCTCATACTTCTCTTCTGTAAAGTGTTAAAAAAAACAACACATTCTTTTAGGTCAATACCTATAAAATCGACATCCTCAAACACATGATGTTTACAATCAGAGTAACAAAATGATTTGTTGATGAGTAGCCCTTGGAAATGAAGATCGATATTGGTGTATGTTGCCATCGTCAGGATGAACCAATGGGAAGATAAGGTTTTTTGTTTCAAAAGAACGACAGAAAGAGGAGTTGTGTCTAAATTAAATTGATTTAAATCGTATGGATTACACATGACTATATACCTTTGCTTACGTGAGAATTTATTTTGGAGACCGACCAAAATATGAACGGCTGACCCGTTAGTTTTGTTGATAATGACATTTTAAACTCGAAAATACTTCATACTTTGAGAATAAAAAAAAAAAGGATATATGACCTTCAAGTTGGTAGGAGCAAATCGATATTATAGTTACTAATGACTGTCACTTTGATGACATTAACAGTTTAACACCATAAATAAACAAACGAGGCTTTCTTCATTTAATTTGAGACAAAGAAGTTAGATTATGGCCTACAAGCGTGCTAAAAATTGTCAAAAGCACCCTTAACAATTGACATTGCCACACCTTCAGGTATTACAGTGATTAGGTTGCACCTCATCCGCAAAATGTCGTTGATGTACTCCTTCACTTGCCCCACAATTTTCCCCGCTAAAAGAACCCTCTCCAACTCTTTCATCTCTTTCTTCCATCGGAACACACCAGTTCTTACTCCACTTCATCAAAAGGTTTCCTTCACTTCTTGCTCAGGAGGCTCGGATTTGGTTGACGAATTACAAGCAGAAGAAGATGCTTTTTCCGGCAGTCGACAAATCACCAATTACACCGGCGTTCGGCTCGAAGAGAGCGTTGAAGATGTTGGAAAGACGAGGCTCGATACTTGGATTTCTACTCGGATAAATGGCATTAGTCGAGCTAGGGTTCAATCAAGCATTCGGTCAGGACTCGTCTCCGTCAATCATCGTGTTATTGTTAAGGTAAAGTTCAGTTACTTAATTTTGAGATCAAACAAATTACGTCTCAAATTCAAATTTAATTAAATGTTTTAGATTCTTAGGAGTTACTTGTGGTAACCAAATCCATGAAAAATGACTTCGTCAAAGGTTTCATTCCAAATTCTGATCAATCGTTTTGTCTAATATCTCGATCCATAACTTTCTTTCAGACCTCACACATGATAAGACATGGCGATAAGGTTGAATGCACAATATCAGAATTGCAACCCTTAAAAGCTGAAAGCGAAGATATTCCTTTAGATATTGTGTATGAAGATGAACATGTGTTGGTTGTTAATAAACCTGCACACATGGTAATCACATCAACCTTCTTCCACTTCCTTTCCATTCCTCCATGGATTAATCTCTTCTTTCGAAACATTTATTCCAAACTTATAATGTAACAATCATAGGTTGTTCATCCAGCACCTGGAAACACTACTGGAACACTAGTAAACGGCATTCTTCATCATTGCAGTCTCTCAACACCTTCATTTCACGATCAAGAATTACTCTCAGATTCTGATGAATTGTCTGATATCGAGTTAGATGAATCACAATCACCCTTAAATCACACTTTTGGCACCAATGAAACATCTGTTCGACCTGGGATTGTGCATAGATTAGATAAAGGCACAAGTGGATTACTAGTTGTTGCCAAGGTAGTTCAACAAAACAACATCATTTCTTCCATTTTCATTCTTCTTCTATAAATCTCTTCTAAAATAATTAATATTTTTCTTTAATGTTTTCCGAACAACAACACAGGATGAACATTCACATGCCCATTTATCTCAACAATTCAAGGAACACACCATTCAAAGGATATACATTAGTCTCACATGTGGAATTCCATTTCCGCCCTCAGGACGCGTTGATATTCCCATCGGTCGTGATTTGACCAATCGGATTCGTATGACTGCCGACACGGGACCCACCAAATGTGGAAAGTCTCGTTATGCTGCTAGTAGGTGATTTAAGTACAACTAAGGGTTGTGTACATAAGGTCTGTTCCTGTTACAAAATGACGATTTTACCCTTAATTATTTGCTCATCAGGTACAAAGTAGTTGAGATACTTGCTGGTGGTGGGTCCGGATTGGTTGAGTGGAGGTTAGAGACGGGTCGCACCCATCAGGCATTGTTTCAACATTAATTGATATTATTTAATTCATTTTGTATAATCTCATATATGAATATATTAATTATTTCTTTGGGCATTTTTGATAACTCTGAAACAGATTCGAGCACATGCAAAGTACCTTGGGATTCCTCTAATGGGAGATGAGGTGTATGGAGGTACTAAGAACATGGCCATATCACGACTACAGCTCAAAAACTCATCAAAATTACATGGTCAACTTTCAGAGCTTGTTGCTAAAGTCAACAGACCTTGTCTCCATGCTTTGACTCTTGGGTTAGTCCATTTCAAACTAAACTTTTTTTTTTTTGGGAAAATTACAAGGAATAGCAACAGACTTTACTGTATTTTTTTAACCCATAGTAAGCAGTAACCATGTATGCATATACTTTTACCCATAATAGCAACCTACTTATATATATATATATTATGAGTGAGGAAATGTAAGTATGTTGCTATTTCTTTTCTGATGAAGTTTATTTTGTTTGTAGATTTACGCATCCTTGTACAGGAGAGAAAATGCAATTTTCATGTTTGCCTCCTGTAGATTTTGCAGAAGTTTTAACTGGACTTCGGAATATAAGCACACACAAGGTAAGCTGTTAAACCTTATATTTTAAATAAATGTTTTTTCTTTTCACATATTTTTAAGACCCATGTATCCTGTGTTGTGTATATAACTGGATTGCAGATGAAGGGGAGCTAAATGCTTAATCAAGTTTTGGTCATTCATTTTTGGCGTTTGGGAGCAGTTGATTGAAGACATATCATATGTTTGTTAGGGAGTGTTTGGATGTGGGTTTTGAAAGTAATTATTTGGTACATGAAGCAATCAGGATAAGGATACTTTGTTGATTGAAATTGATTAGTGATGATAATAGAGTAGTAGGTAGTATTCTTAGATAATCAGTTTTCTCTCTCTCTCTCTCTCTCTCTCTCTCTCTCTATATATATATATATATATATATATATATATATATATATATATATATATATATATACACCTTAATAAACATTTAGCCTCAAATGTTGATTTTAAGAGGTACACACATTACTGCATTTTATACAATCAGTTTATGCGCTGAAATTTTAATTAGTCAACAAAAATCAGAAAGTCAGACTATGGCGGGTGTTTAAATTGGTATTCCATACTTTCAGCCCTTTGAATCGGTCAAACACGACCTATATGAACACATCTTCACTTTACATTCATTTAAATTTGAAAGGAGCCTTTGAAAATCACTTTACATTCATTTTGAAATTTGAAAATCATTATCTTCATTCTTATCTCGCCCCTTTGCCACAAATCACAGATTTCCCTTGCATGATTTTAGTATATTGGATTTGAATCGTTTATCTTCTCTTATAAATTACATATTTTAATATTTACATCCCTAAATCTATCTTTCTATATGTCTCTTTACCTCTCAATTAATCGTCCCTCCTGGTAGAACGAAAAAGGGTTTTGTTTGAATAAGAGGACAACAATGGTCGACATTTCTCATTAAAGAAGCAACACGAGAACCCTATTCCTCATTCCTATATGTACGACCCTTAAATCAAAGAGAAATAAACCCTATTCTCACTGCAATTCCATTGCTTATACTCAAACAATTTAAGAACTTTATCTTCGTCCATCTATGTGGATGTATGTTTCTGGATTTCACTTTGTGATTGTTTTTCAGAGTTGAAAGTGTGATTGGTGGCAATGGTGAAAAAATCAAGGGAATCGACCCACCAGGTTCAATGTACCTTCCGATTAACCAGGTTTATCTTTTTTTAATTTCTCTTAATAGTCATGCTTCTAATTTTTAGCTTTTATATCTATTTCTGTAATGGTTCGCTTTTGATTTGGCTTAAACTTATTCTGATATAATGTTATATGTATCATTCATGTAACACTCGGTCTCAGGTACACATTTAAATTCAAGTCAAATTTCATATTTTACTCTTGCACTCGGCGATCAACTCATCGAGTAGGATCGACTCCAGATCGGGGGATTAAGTAAACTACTCGACGAGTCAGAAGACCGACTGGGCGAGTAGGAGCTGTCTGAGTGAAACCCTAAATTGGAGGGTTTGCACCCTATTTAAACATCTTATGAGGCTTCCACCCCAACCTCCATCACCTCCAAAGCATTACACCTGAAACCCTAATCATCCATAAGTGAACTTGAGCTTTCTTGGTTGTTTTGAGTGTTATTTGGTGTATCTTGAAGCTAGTAGAAGATAGAAGATTCAAGGGAGAAGGAGTAGATCCAGGAGCTACACCCCATTTGCCATCTTTTCTGGTAATCAAGCTTACAACATGATCTTCTTTCTCTTACATCTATTTGTCCCCATATTAAGAGGGTTTTAGCTCAAAAACCTTGGTCCTTGATGTTGGGACGTCCCAAGTGGTTAATATATCAGATCTAGGTTCTAAGGAGGAGTACATGGCATAAAGATGCAAGCTTTATGAACATGATAGCCCCATGTATCTTATAAACCTCATTTTTGGGTCTTTTGAGCTTAAAGTCCCATACATGGACGTAAAGTTCATGACTTTACGTGTTATATTGACTGTTGGAGCCCAGATCTACCTTTTGAATGAGTTTTGCACAACAAAAATCGAGTTTTGGACATGGACATTAGTCAACTCGGCGAGTCGTTCTTCGGACTCGGCGAGTCGGGGGGTTTTGGTTTCCCAACCTTTTATGATTCGAAGGAATCCAGTTTAGTTTGGAAGGGATTTAGCTAAGCCCAGAGGAAGGACTCAACGAAATAGACATAGTTATGAACCTGGAAACCATGGGACTCGGGCGAGTGTATGAACGTACTCGGCGAGTCCAAGGCAATCTCCAAACCCATGAAGATGGACCCTACGAGTTGTTCATACAAATCGGTGAGTCACAGACTAGACACGCTCATATGATGAAGATGAACTCAACAAGTTCAAGGAGGAACTCGACGAGTCAGTTGAAGATTGTCCCGATGATATGATTGAAGGAGAGCTCGTCGAGTTCTTGCTAGACTCGACGAGTAGAGTCGGGTTGGGGACAGGTGAAAGAACAGGGACTCAGCGAGTTGGCGGGCCAACTCGGCTAGTCGAGTCAACTGGAAGTTGACTTTGACTAGGATGTTGACTTTAGCCAGGGGTAAAATGGTCAATTTACCCTAAGATTAGTTATTAGTTTTTTACTAAGTGTCTTTATGGAAATTATGTCGGAGAGTCACCCGAGCAGCAGGCAGGGATTTCTTACCCAAAGTTTTAGCGGTCAGACATACGAGGTGAGTTTCCCTTCAGTAGGAACAAGTCTAAGGCACCAAGGCCGACCCGTTTATATAGTTACAGTATGTCGGGGTAAGCCCGGTGTTGGGGTTAGCCCGGTGCAGTTTATATGTGCAATTTTATGTGTTCAGTTTATTCCGGACTTCGGTCCGATGCCAGCGCGGTCCTGAGAAGTAGTTATGTATGCTTGATGTCTTTGTGATTTATGCATGTTTATGTTATGTGTTATATGTTCCGGACTTCGGTCCGATGTCGGGCAATCCCGATGCAGTTTATATGAATATGTTATATGTTTACGTTTATGTTATGTTCAGTCTATTTCGGACTTCGGTCCGATGCCGGGCGGGGCCCAATGCAGTGGGCGGGGCCCAAGTTATTCCGGACTTCGGTCCGATGCCGGGCGGGGCCCGATGCAGTGGGCGGGGCCCAAGTTATTCTGGACTTCAATCCTATGTCGGGCGGGGCCCGATGCAGTGGGTGGGGCCCAGTAGTTGTTATATGTGCTTTGTATGGTATGTGGTAGTTTGGGGGAGGTCACTAAGATTTGTGGTTATAGTTTTTAGTTTTGGTTTCAGGTACTTCAGCTAGCAAAGGGAAGGGCTCGAGTTGATGGCATGGCACACATCATAGTTTTTCTTAGCCTGGCAGTTTACTCCGATATTTTATATGAGACTATGATATGTTGACAGATTTTATGAGATTTTGAGATACATGTTCTATGATTTTATAATATGGTGATGATATTTATGTTTGTTAAATGATTTTGAAAACGAAATTTTTGGCTTGTATTTTTGGGATGTTTCAAGTTGGTATCAGAGCCTTGGTTTGAGGGAATCGGGCACACTTTTGGGTGTGTCTGAACTCAAACTAAGGAAGCGATATAAAGTTTTCAAAAGAAAAGAGTTTTAGAGAAGCAAAAAAGAATTTTAGAAATAAAAGGACATTGAAAAGAGAAAGGGTGTGGTGCATGCAATCAACCGAGCTCAAGTAAGTAGTCCCAAATTACCCATACAAGTTTATGCTATGTTATGATTATCAGCTTATTTAAAACAACATGCTAGATTTGGACTAAGGATCTAGGAAATATGCCTTATGTGCTTGCTATATGTGTTTCAACTTTATGAGAACTGCATGCTAGTACAGATTAGTCAGGATAATAGCCTGAGTAGTATATGCTTGATTATGTATACTCGATGTCCGAATGCTGTTTGCTTTTTGCTTTTAGGAGTTTTAGTTGTCTTTCACTAACTAGTAAATGAATATGTTACGTTACATATTGCGAGGATTAAATAATTTTAGAAGGTTAGGTCTAGCTCTATTTTGCAGCTCTTGTTTGAGTCCAACCGTTGTAGGGTAGGATCTCTCATTCGAAGAATTATCTAGTCTGAGTAATATGTAATAGTATTCACGAGCTAGTTAGGGGAAGAAAGCAGGGACTTCTTATGCAGCTGATGGTGGAGAGTGGGATGGTAATTACCCTGGGGCAATCCTAGGATGAGAGTAGCAGAGAACAATGGTAGTAAAAGGGACTTGGTGGAGTCAAGAAAGTTCTTGAGGAAAGTACAAATAGATGTGGAAGGTAGTATGGGCCCGTACTACTGAAAATAGAGGATTCGTACTCGAATCAAGGAAGGCTGAGATAAGACCAGGGAACTTGTAATATATGTGATCCCTCGAGTTATAGTAGTATTCTGACATTTTTCATTATGTGTTTTCAGAATGGTGGTTTTACGCTCGAGACCAACAGTCGGCAGTTCAGGTGCCGGGGAGGGATCAGGTTCAGGCTCTAGAGTTGAGCACTTGGATGAGCAGACTAGAGAGTTTATCTCCTTAGATATCACGTGTAGCATACTTGAGCAGACTCCTGTGATCTTCGGTTCGATCAAGGAGGGTAGAACTCATGGATGAGAGGTTGAGTGCGTTTCGGACTGAGGTGGCGACCATGATAGGGTCGCACACGCTCATGTTCAGAGAGTTCAGGGCATGTGATGCTCCTGATTACTAGGGGGAGCAAGACCCCATTGCTAGTACCAAATGGTTGGTAGATGTCGCCAACACATTCCGCACCAGCAGATGTCCCGAGGGGGGCAAGGTTAGGCTCGCGTCCTTTCTTCTGAAGGGTAGGGAACGTGACTGGTGGGAGGAGGTTGGTAGGGCCATTGGAGATGATACTATGTTGGATGCTATGACCCAGGGTGATTTTACGACCAGGTTCAGAGCCGAGTTCGCACCTGTCATTGAGGTGCAACAGCTTGCTAGGGAGTTTCAGGACCTCCAGCAGACGACAGAGACTGTGGCAGAGATTACCGCCAAGTTTAGGGAGAGGGCCCTCCTTGTTCCGCAGTAGGCGACGGATGAGGAAATGAAAAAGGCCCGATACCATGGGATGTTGTGGAGCGATATCCGCCAGTTTGTGATCCGGTCCAACTATAAAACGTTGGAGGATATGATAGTGAGGACTCGTGAGAGGGAGATTGATTTAGAGATGGAGAGAAAGAGGAAGCCAGGGGGTGACGTTTGGCGCAGTAGGTTCGGGAAAAAAGCCCAAGGTGTCTGATCACGGGTCGAGGGGACAGCTGAGCCACAGTCGGTGTGGCAGATTGCACGATGGGGTGTGCAAGGCAGGGAGTTCCGGCTGCTTCAAGTGCGGTCGGACCGGGCATATGAG